ATGAGTTCTACACATGTGGGGTTCGAGTCCTCACCATTGAAGTAGTTCGTAAAATGTTCTATATTTGTGGTTCGCTACCACCTCCGAGGCAGTTCTTGAGGGCGTGGCTAGGTTTAGTAGTGGCTCAACAATATAAATCATGTGTATGTTGTGTTTTCAAGTCATGGCTCATAAATTTTATAAATAAGATTTGCTGCATTTAAAATCGTTTTATGCATATAAAACCTKTRAACTCMCCAACTCTYGTARYTGACACTTGTTTGACATGCTTTTTCAGGGTAAGAAAGATTTTCGATGACTCATGTTTGAAGACGTGTTACATTTGGAAATTTCAATCTTAATTTATGTTTAGTGATGCAAACTCTTATTTTGGGATTGTAAACTTTATTTATTTTGTATTTATGTTTTCTAAATGTATGGTTGTGTTGTTTATACACTATTGCTATGAGACTCTACCTGCCATACCCCGTGTTTCCGCTTTAGCGGTGTGTGACAAGGTGTCCTACGTACATACCAAATGGTGGTTTCTTCTGTGATCTTCTTTGGTCAAATCCATTTAAAGATGTCAAAGGATGGGGAATGAATGATCATGGAGTTTCGTATACTTTTGGTGTTAAGATCGTCACCGGGTTTCTTCAGAAGCATGACGTAGATCATATTTACACTGTTCCTTAATTATTAACCATGTGGCTTATTGCATGCATATTGAGAAATTGCTTTTTGACCGTCGAAAATTCCCTAAGCTTTGTGGTTGGGGTTTTCAAATGATTGTTTTGACATAAAGTACTTGTTAACAATTATTAACTTGTTAACAATTATTAAACTGATTTGAGTAGGCAATATTCTTCTATTTTGTCTTTATTAAACGGTGTATCAAAATATCAAAATATTGACATTCAATTTCTTCCAAATGGAAAAAAATCAAAAATGAAAAAAACACCAAATGGATCCTCTCTCTCTAGGATTGGCGATCATGGGGAAGCTCTATGATCATTTGATCTTGATTGGTTGATCACGGTTGCTTGCTTTAGAGATCGTTTGTGTCACTTTGGATTAGGATTTTCTTTGTTTGCTTAATAATTCTAGAGAGGTTGCAGAACTGGTTCACGGCTGTTTCTTCATCTTTGTTTTTGTTTGGAGTAACCTTTCGTCGTGTTTTTGCTCCTGTGTGTTTACATATCTAATTTCGTCTCTTATCTAGGCGACAGTATTGTTGGGTGTCGGCTAGGGTTTCTTCTGTTTCTTGTTGTGGCTGGTTGGAATTGATCTAGACGACGACTTTGTAGGGTTTCTGGTTTGCTCCATGGCTGCTTTGCTTCTTTGGTTTATTCGGCTGTTTTTTCATTCTGTTCTGGTCGTGTTCTTCTGTATGAGTCTTTGGTTACCTACTGGTTTGATTCAAGTTTTCGTTTCATCATTTTGTTTGGCTGTCGCTTTTTCTAGTTATGTTTTTTTCGTTTTTGGAAGGTTGCTGCTAGGGTTTTCTCTCGGTGATGGACTCGCTTCTTTGCTGCTGCTGTTCTAGGCTGCATCCATGTTGTTTGATCGCTGTTTATTATAAGGTTAGACGGTAGTTATTTGCTTGCTATTTTCCTTTGCTGTTTCTCTTCCTTGGGGTGTGCTTGTTTGCTTTTCGTGGTGTCCTCGTGCAAGTTTCAGCATTTGGTTTAAGCCTTTTCCTCGTCGCTTTGCTGTTTGCTGCTGGTTCTTTTTGTGTTACAGTTTTGCTTCACTTCTTTTTTCTCCTCATGTTTTGAGTGTTTCTGTGGTCTTCGTTACCTTCCTAGAGGTTCCTTGATAGAAATTCAGCACCTTGGTTTCCGGGGTCTTCGTCTCTTCTATTAAGGTTCTTTTAGACGGTTTCAGCACCACGACTTCTTAATACGTGGAATGGAAACGGTTGTTGGAGTTGGGCCCATGCATGCATAATCGTCTAGGGTTTTCGTGTTTGAGAGGATTTCGTCTCAAGAGGAGGATACGGTTGATAGTCCGATTTTTGTCAAGGAGGGGATGGAAATGGGAAGTTAGATTTTGCCAAGGCGGTTGGGCATTCAGTGGCTACAAATTTGCAATTTATCCTCTCGCTAACAAAATTCAAGTAAGTGTGACCATTCCTATTGAAATGGCTAAGGAGGCTGCAAGTCATAGCGTTCGGTTCTTTATGGTTATTTTCTAGGACCCCGTATTCATTTTCCTTTAGTGCAAAAAGTTGTAAAGGCTGCATGGGGTAAATATGGGTAGAGTGACGCGATGATGAATGAGAACGAGATATTCTTTTTCCGATTTAATGATGAAGGAGGCTGTTCTCAAGTGATTGAGGTGGGGCCTTTAATGGTAAGAAGAGTGTCGCTGTTTGTTTTTTGTTGGGATCCAACAAAGGGGTTACGGAAATCGGAACATACCTTTTGCCCTTTGTGGGTTAAATTACACAATATTCCATTGGTGGCTTTCAATAAGGAGGGGGGGTCAGCCGTATTGCTAGTGCCTTAGGTATTCTGAAGCAAATGTATTCATGTACGTCTGCTATGTGTGACAAGGCATGGGGACGTCCCAGTTTTGCTAAAGTTTTGACTGAGGAGTGGGTCATGGGGGAACTAAAACGTAAAGTTGAGGTAGTGATACTGAATCTTAATGGAGGGGCGTATGAAAAGGTGAACATTTGAGGTGGAATACATCTGGGAGCCTCTTCAGTGTTCCTATGGCCGTGTGTTTGGACATAATACATCTTCGACGTATTTTTTTTTCCCAAATCCTCTAATATAATCTTAAGAAATATAATTCTAAAACTTCAAACCCAAACTCCCACTAAATCATGGATTCTCTTTGACCCAATAATTAAATATACTTAGGAAATAATTTGGGCATATTAGAAATTGGATGTTACAAATACCTCCTCCTTTTGAGGATTTCGTCCTCGAAATCACTGTTGTGGAAATAAAGATGGGTATTTCGCCTTCATCTCATCTTTACGCTCCCACGTCCAATTTGGTCCCCGATGGTGTTTCCACTTGATCAATACCAAGTCTACTTCCTTATTACGTAGTTTCACTTTTCTCTCGTTCAGAATTGATTCTGGTTCTTCAATGTATCTTAATTTCTCATCTACTTTGACTTCGGCTAAGGGCACCGTCTCTTCATGTTTACCCAAGCATTTACGTAAGTACCCTACATGAAACACATCATGTATCCCCGTAAGTTCCTTCGGTAACTCTAGTCGATAAGCCTGTTTTCCTATATGCTCCAATACTTTGAACGGGCCAATAAATCGTGGACTTAACTTACCTTGTTTTCAGAATCGAAGTACACCTCGCCAAGGAGAAACTTTCACCATTACCATATCACCCACCGAGAACTCGATTGGCCTTTTGCGATGATCTGCATAAGACTTTTGATGATCTTGGGCAGCTTTCATTCTTTCGCGAATAATCTGAATCTTATCATGAGTAATCTGAATGAGTTCGGGACCAACTAAAATTTTTTCTCTCCCGTCTCTCGCCAACACAAGGGTGTACGACACTTACGTCCGTATAAAGCCTCATAGGGAGCCATTCCAATTGTCGAGTGGTAGCTATTGTTGTAAGAAAACTCAACCAAGGGTAGGTGAGTATCCCAACTACCACCAAATTCTAAGACACATGCGCGTAGCATATCCTCGAGAGTCTGAATGGTTCGTTCTGATTGACCATCGGTCTGAGGATGATAGGCCRTACTAAAMGCATGACGTGTTCCCAACTCTCGTTGAAATCTAGTCCAAAAATTAGAAGTGAATCGAGAGTCACGATCAGAGATAATCTTCACTGGTACACCGTGTCGCTAGACAACTTCATCAATGTAAAACCGTGCCCATCGATCCATAGAATAAGACTCTCGGACAGGTAAGAACAATGCAGATTTGATCAGCCGATCAACTATAACACAAATACTGTCGTGTTGACGTTGGGTCTTCGGTAGTTTAGTAACCAAATCCATTGTTAATTCCTCCCATTTCCACATCGGTATCTCAAGAGGCTGTAAACTACCATACGGTTTCTGGTGTTCGGCCTTTACTTGTAAACATGTGGTACATTTCTCGACATAACGTCCAATATCAGTCTTCATCCCAGGCCACCAGTAATCTAAACGAAGATCTTGGTACATTTTGGTACTCCCTGGGTATATTGATAATCGCGACTTATGTGCTTCCGCTAAAACAACATCTCGCATGCAGCCAAGTTTAGGGACCCAGATTCGGGTCTTAAAGACCTTCAAGCCACGTCCATCTTCAGAGAGAGAATCAATGTATCATACCATTTGTTCTACTTTGACATTCTCAGGCTTCAAAGCCTCAATCTACCATTTCCGAATATCATCAAATAGATTATATTTAAACAACATGTGAGTGATAGAGTAGCATAGAAGTCCAAAACGTGTCTTCCTACTCAGAGCATCTGCCACTACATTGGCTTTACCCGGATGATATAGTATCTCACAGTCGTAATCTTTGATGAGTTCCATAGCACGTTGTTGACGCATGTTCAAGGTCTGTTGATCAAATAAATACTTTAACCTCTTGTGGTCAGTATAAAGTTGACACTTCGTACCATAGAGATAGTGTCACCAAAGCCTCAAAGTAAATACCACCGCTGCTAATTCAAGGTCATGAGTAGGGTAGTTCTTCTCATAATCTTTCAATTCACGAGAATCATATGCAATCACCTTGCCTCGCTACATCAAGACACATCCAAAACCAAGTCGAGATGCATCACTATATACTATAAAGTCTTCGTTACCCTCAGGTAGAGAAAGTATAGGCACGTGAGTAAGACATTCCTTTAAAGTTTGAAATGTTCGATCTTGGGCCTCATTCCATTCAAATTTAGCA